AGCTCAGTTACTTTACATAGGGCACCGAAACAAGAATTATCTCTGCAATACAGAGATGAATACAAACACCGAAAACTTAACATAAGTATCACCGTCTACCACATTGGAATTAGGGAAATTCGTATTGTTGGTTCAGGGTATTATAAAATACAGAACAAAGAAATAGGGTCGGATTTCCTAAATTATGAATTTGATTCCACAAGTTATAACTAGTAAGTTATAAATTCCAACTTTCCGATATCTAGCATTTTGCGGACTATGTATTTTAAATTGAACTTTTATCATGACTATGTTTGCTAAACAAAATAATATTCCATAAACGTATGATTATCATTCAGAAGTTAATTAAACCAATTATGTATATTTTCCCAATCACATGATATTTGCAATATAATGACATCTCGGGTGTTGATTATAATCACGGTAGAGTGGAGTCATAACGGTTATAACGGTAGAGTGGATTAATAACACAGTCAAATAATTAAAAAAAACGAAATCTTTACTCACTCTCACTACTACTACACTATTAAAAAAAGAAGTAGTTCTTTTATTCCTTTTGTAAATAAAATTAAAGCCACATATGTTTTTTTCCACAACTTGATACAAAATTCTACAAAAACATTCTCCCAGCCAGGCAAACTGTTTTTCCTTTTTGTAAATTGTCTGAATCGACTTTTTCTCTAAACTTATGCCCCGTCTATATTTAAGCTAGTTATTAGCTGAATTTGAAAAAAAACAATAATTTTTATTTTGTTCTAATTCATAAGGCGTAGCTAGCAGATATGCATAAAAAATTCTAGAAAATTCTAAAGAACATTAAAGATACCACATTTTACAAAACTTACTTCAGTCCTCTTTGTCTACAAACCGAGCGGTAAGTGCATATTTTTGTTACGGAATGTTTAAATTCCGCCATTTCAAAACTTCATATGCTCCAAGTAGTTTCATAAAACGCTACGCTTAAAACTGGGTGAGAGTCGGACTGGTTCGTGAGCAATTAACGTTACGGACTTTGCGAGGGCTATATAACACGGGTCAAAGCTTTGTGGCCGTGTCACAATGTTTCGTTACACTCGCCACAGTAATTATACTTACTCCGTTTTTTTTTGTGTCCTAAAACTTATGCGCCTCTAACTAATTACCCACTGTTTTCTTTTCTAACAAAACGTGACACGTTCATTTTAAAACATTCTACAGAAGAAGTTTCGTATAAAATTATTCTCGTATTAAAAAAAGAAAGAAAGGTCGTTATCATCCCGGATAGCTCTCATAAAATTGGTTTTTATATCATACTTTCCAAATATACTTATTTTATCACAACGTCCAAATAGCCGTATTAAAATTGTCTTTGTCAAAATTTTGATCACTTTGGTGGGTGATTTTTTATGGAAATTCCGAATAGCTGAAACATTTTAATTACTATTTCATTTTCATTAACATCATTTCAGCTTATTTGAGTCCACGGTGGAACATGAGCCTCCCGCGTAGACTGCCGCGAAGCAAGAGCCATCATTGTAGTATATATTTTAGTTATTATACTTTCGCGTTTTGTATGGTGTGTGAGGTAACCGGGGCCCAAATTTTAAAGGTTATTAACGCATCTGCAAGCTTCTCAGGTGGTATAGATATCCTTCGGTGGCAGTATCAATTTAAAATCAGGTGGACGTCCTGCTCGCTTGACAACTTTCACAATTCACTTTTCAAAAAAAAACTGCTCTAACCCTAACCCTAATAGATACTAAACACGTTGTTATTTAACAAGTTTAAACTGATAGTTTTTTCAGACTAAGATTTAAAAATAAAGAAAAGCGTTTACATGAAAATTTATAATAACTTTTAAATAATTTTAATTAATACAGCGAGTTTTTAATTAATGCAGCCAGCAAAGCATCATCGCTCAATTACTGCATCAACGGTACGCATTTCCTAGCAAAACCTTTAATTTTCAAAACTTACACCTTCTTTATATTAACTTTAAGTTATACCGAAAAGAACAACAGTTTCTTTAAAGAGTTTGAAACAAAGACGACAATCTGTCGAGATAAGGACAAACTTTCTGTTGTAGTTTTTAGTCGACGAAATATTCTTAATTTGAACTTTTATCGGAGTCCATGTTTAACTAGAATGCACTTTCCTCCGTTCACAACCTCTTTTTACGGCTAAATAAAAGTTTAACTTGTTACCTAGTTTTTTTTATATAAGTGTGGAAGTTTGGAATTGCGTAAAATAAATATGGTAAGATACAAAGAAGCTTAGAAGCAGTCTTTTTGAATGTATTATTCCGAAAATACATCGTTTTTGTTTATAACAAGTATTGCTGCATGCAATGTATTGCCAAACGCTGTCAACTGTATCAGACACAAAATGGAAAAAAGTCTGATAATTAATGACGACTCATTTTTCAAGGAGCTTGAAGCTAGATCACCATTTTGACTATTTTCAGTATGATTATAATATAACGATATCGCATTGTGTATCTGTCTGTATCACATATCATATCATACATCATAATAAATTAAACTAGTTTACGGACTTTTTTGTTATTATTTAAATAAAAACGCGATAAAATCCGTAAACTAGTTTCATTTAATATGTATAATATTCGCGTAAAATCAAGAAGTCAATATCATATATCATTGAACTGTGATAAGACCACGCACCAGTGGCTGCGGCTACTGCACGAATGTACAGTCTCGTCTAGGGAAGTACCACATCCTTACAGAAGACCGGTGTGAAGTGGAAGTATACTTTTGCGTTTCGTCTGGTGAGTGTAGTGTCCGGGGCCCACTTATTTTAAAGGCTGTAAGCGTATCGACAACCCTCGGGTGTTGTTAATGTCCATGGGCGGCTGTAATCACTTAACATCAGATGAACCGCCTGCTCGCTTGAGAATTTTTCACATAAAAAATAATATTGCCAGTCGTGTCTTACTAGATTACTTCAGACACAACCGAGAAGATGGTAAACAAGTAAGCGGCGTAGTTGATAGTAATATTCGATGTGGTTTTGTGAGTATATACACCTTTTCAAGAAACTTATAGATATAATAAAACCAATTGTAAAATTGTGGCGAACTTTTGAGGATGGAATAGGCTTTTTTTTTTTTTCAGGTCCGAGGACCCTGAGTCATATCGATCCAGAGGTACCTCTGAAAATTATACAGCGTGTCGTTACCATCGCGACAATAAATGAACACGCATATAGGGGATAACTTTTTAAAGTTGTATTAAACATTTAAATTCTTTAAACATCAATATTTACAGAGTTACTAAATTTTCCAAAACAAAGGATTTTAGAACACCCTTACCTATAAAAGCGTAACGTAAAGTTCATTTGTAAAGGTCACATAGCATATGAATGAGTTGAATGAATTTAAATGAGACAAAACATACTGTTAGAAGGAGAGGCTTGTAATACGACGCTGTGACGCGAGTTGTATAGGTGTTACAAATTTTGTTTCTTTTTTACTTAATTAGTTTGTTTGAAAATTATTTTTTTTTAAATTATGGATTTTGTTTAACGTTAATATTTTTTTTATGATTATTGACAAGTAGCGTTAGACGTGCGTTCATTTATTGTGGCGATGGTAACGACACGCTGTATATCCCAATAACTAGTCATACATGGAAGAAAATTCCATGTAAGCCGCAGGGTGGTAAGGCAACAACCATGCGTAAAACACACGATGCTACCGACGATAGGTGCAAAATACTATAAGTCAGGAGCAAGATCGTTTAGCCGATAAAAGTAACTATTTCATTTTTATTGTCAAACGTAGAAAGTATTAAGGAACTTAGTAGCGATTAAAAAATATGTGTACTTATATACGCACGTAAGAGGATATAATTCTTTAGCAAAAAAAAGGAAATATAACTAAGACTTCCCACGTGCCAGTACTCTTTGCTTGTGAAAAAGATATTAAACCTAATTGATATCAGTTTTATTAGATAGCTTGGGATTATACATACATTGCAGTGGACTAGATAGAGTTACTACCTGTACAAGTGTGCGGAAAAACCGTAAAGTTAGTTTTTCACCAACTTCTTTCATTATATATATTATTCATACAAATATATATCAAAAAATATATATCATTCATACGTATATTACAAATATTAATTAACGTAAAACCAGTGACATTTTGTCATTTATTATGCCGAAACTATACCGTTTGCTTTAACGCTCATGAAAACTGATATGTCCTTCCTCCAAGTTAAAAAGTTCAACCAAGGCTTCGAATGCATTTGAAATTTTACCATTTATTGTAATAATAATACTCCTTTGGTCTGGTCTCACGCTGTAGGGCCAGGGTCCCGGTTGAATTTTACCCTATTGTTGCCACTGAATTTTCCTCAGGTTTTTATACCAACTTATATGTTCTTTTTCTCGCTGATGGATGCTAAATAAACAAAAACTTTCTATTAAAATCGCGAGAAAAGGTGCAGGGTGGCACAAAAATTTCAAACACTATTAAAATTATAATGAAACAACAAAAAAACTGTCTTAGAGGTATTTATTGCTAAATAAACATTTATGTTCTCCATTTTGAACGAAAATTTTTCGACAAATATATTAGTCATACCAAAAATGTTTAATTTAATAAATAAAACATAACGGTCATTGCAAAAGTTTGGCGGTCGGCGTTGTCTCTGGTGACTAGACATGCCGGATGATTTAGCCAAAATATTACATAAGTTAAAATATACAATTTCGTTGACACCAAATTATAATTAACATATCTGTAAGGTAGTCAACCTTATCTAAACTAATAAATATTTAAGCCCAAATTACAAGCAAATATAACCTTACACTCTATCAAGCGTGTATAAAATTACTTTCAAACATTTTATGTACATAGTACATTAATTTAAGTCCGCGATATTTCGCAACACAAACTGACGATTTTAAAATCGTTTAACAACGCTGGAAGAATTGAAAATGGTGAATTATAATCAGTTATCGGTAAATTTTATCATCGTGTGGTGGCATGCTTATAAAGTATGGTGCTGGTGGATGAGGAGCTAGGTACCGCACAGAACCCGGTCCTGGCTGTACCTTATGAGGCAAGGTTGCTGTCGACAAAGAAGCTGGAGGTAAGGTTGCAGCATAACCAGGCCAAGCTGGTCCCCATAATGGGGCTGCACCAGCACTAGCACTGTTTGCTAATGGACCACCTCTGTACGAGGTTGTGGTCATCCTTAATCGCACAACACATATGGCAACAATAAGGATGGCTATAAATGCAACAACGCCTCCCACTATGCCTATAATTAGATTATCATCATTAGTAGACGATGCTATTACAGGAGCTCCTTTCGGCTCTCCTGGTGACTTTGCTCGCTCGTGGGATGGACCAACCGACCATATAATGTCAGGCTCTGCTGAAGTCCGATGCACCAAACGTGGTGAAGTAGTTGTCACGCTACTCGAGGATGATGTCCCAGTTGTTCTCCTTTTTGTGTCACAAGAAAGTTCATCATCACCAATTTCGACCAGCAAAAATCCAGACAAGTGATCAGGGGCATTGCATCGTACATCTTCTATTCCCACATTAGGTAGCCATCTACGCAATGCTCGTGCATTACAATCACAACGTATCGGATTCGTGTCCAACCCAAACATGGACAAATCTGCTCGTCGATCATCTAACGCTACTAGTAACTGTGGTTGCAAGGTAGTCAAATGGCTACCAGCCACATCAATTGTTATTTGAGACGATCTTGGTAAAGGAAAAAGTAGTGCTGGCGGTAGACTTGTGACCGATGTGTTTCTAAATCTAACTACAATAGAAGGTGACTTTAATCCAGCTAGTACACCTGAAGAAACCGTTTTCAGTCTATCTCCGCGTATACCTAACACTTCGAGTCGAGGATGTAATGCCGAGGCAAGCTGATCAGCACCAATATTTGTATCTTTTACTTCAACGTCTAATTTTTCCAAGGCAAACAAATATTGTAAAGTGCCTTGCACATCAAAGTAACCTAATCGTGGAAATCCGTAAGCGCGAAGTTCAATAAGGTTAGGTAGAGACCTAAAAGCATTCTTCTCTATTTTTGTGCATTTATCTAAGTACCGCATATCCAAAACTCGGAGGGATGAAAGACCTTCAAAATTTCCGTCTACAATAATTTTAATAGGATTGCTAGAAATATTAAGCCCTTGCAAATTTTTAAGCTTTGGCCAAGATATTGCAAGTGATCTAGAAACATCCTCTATTTGATTAAAGGATAAATCTAATGATTCAAGCAACGTTGTCCTGATAAAAGATTTTTCGGTTAACATAGTGATATTGTTGTAAGATAGATTTAATCTGTGCAAAAATGGAGTTTCTAACTGCCCAATAGTTTTTATTCCAGTGCCGGCTAGATTTAAATCTCTAACTGTTTTAGGTTCAGACAAAACATTATTTATAGTTTTTTCAGAAAGTGGATTAAATGATAGATCCAATTTTTTGATGTTTACCATTACACTATCTTCTGCCTGAATTTCTACTATTTCATTATGAGAAAGATCAACAGATGAAACGAAAAAATATTGTTTTTGTAACGATTTCAAGGGTGGGTGTTCAAATAAATTACTACTTAATACTATGGTTTCTAACATATGTAATCGTGTTCTGTCAAAAATATTTTCGGGCAACTCATTTAAAAGATTGCCACTCAAGTCTAATTTTTCAAGGCGTATCAAACCTTCAAATAATCTGTCTCCAAGACGATCAATTTTATTGTACGATAAATCTAATAGCTGTATTTGAGTAGAGTTATGGAAAGCCATTTCGCTCACACCTTCAATTTCATTTCGAGCCAATAGAACTGTTCTCAATTTTGGAAGGCGTGCAAAATCTAATTCATCGACATTTTTCAAGGCATTGCCAGATAAATCGATCAGTTCCAAGTATTGTAACGTGCTGATAAGTTCAGATGGGAAGAAGTTAAATTTATTATTTGTAAGAATAATTTCTCGCAGTCTGGGGTGTATTTTAAATGATGAGGGGAACAAATAGCTTAGTTGATTATCTGAAATATCAATTACTTCTAAACTTGTGCCTGTATTAAAGAACTCGCCTTTAAATGCATTTAACTGATTACCTTTTAGGGACAAGTATTGAATTGACATCACGTTTATAAATGCCGGTGCTTTAATGCTAACTATATTATTATAAGACAAGTCTAAGACTGTTAAATTCCTAAGATTTTTGAAAGTATTTTCAGATATTTCTTGTAAAAGATTATGCGATATGTATATTCGCTCCAAACTAGGATTTTTTAAAAACAAGTTAACTGGCAATGCTTTTAAACCAACATGACTTAAATCGACGATTTTCAAAGCTTGATTTTCTGCAAAAACGTTTTGAGGTAAGACACTAATGTGTGAATTATGGCTCATATTTAAATGCAGCAAACTCGGTATCGATTGGAAAGCGCTTGCCGGGACCTCCGAAATTTGATTATCAGATATATCTAAATACCAAAGATTAACAAATTTTAACTCTTCTCCAGTAAAACCTAAGATCCTATTTTGGTTTAGTGTAAGAAATTCAAGTGTAGATTCTAAACCATTAAATACTTCAGCAGATATAGAATTTAAAAGATTGCCAGATAAATCTAGGTGACGTAACGTTTTGAAATGCTCAAAAGCTGCTTGTGGGAGCTCTCTAATCACGTTACGCGAAAGGACCAAACTATTGATTCTATCAGAAACTGCTCTTAAGATATCGCTCGACAAGGCTGTTACTCGATTAAATCCTAAATGGATTGAAATCAAATTTGGCAGACGTGACAATGCTGTTGCAGGAATTAAAAGTATGTTATTATCACGTAGAAGTAATGTCTGTAAACTCGTAAGCCCATCAAATGCGTCATCTTCCACCTGAAAAGGTAGAAATTGATTTAATACATTTAACAATATAACAAAGCTGAAACAAAAATTCCCGCGAACAGAATTTATGTGTCCTTAATTCCTTACCCAATATGGAATAATACGTATTGGGTATGAAGATTCACAAAAAATAAATCTCTTCCATATCACTATCGTTGAACCACGCAGCAGTTTTTGCTGTGGCAACAAACACAACCCGAAAGTAAGCAGGCGTGAAGTGGAAGTATTATAGCTCCGTGCCTCTTGGTGGGTGAGGTAACCGGGGCCCACTTTTTAAAGGTTGACAACGTATCTACAAACATTCAAGTGATGTATCCATGTATTCCATGAAAATCGTAACAATATTTTTTTTACTATTAAAATTCGTAGTGGATCAACTAAAAGATTCTCTAAACTGAATATTATTTAAATACCATTTGATAATTAAACTTACAGCATTTCTGTGGATAATCCACAAGTTAATTTAAATAGTGCTAGTTATCTGTTAAAATGAAGTTTCTAAGAAAGTTACTTACAGTTCGGAGAGAATTCACGCCAACGTCCAAATACCGCAATTCAGTGAGCCCCACAAACGTCCCGGGTGACAGTTTAACAAGGTTATTTCTGCTAAGGTCTAGAACTTGTAAGGAAACCAGCGAACTCAAATGGCTATTGTCGATATTCTGAAAAAGATTTTTAAGTTTCTCAATTAATTCTGACAAGTTAGCTCCGATATACTTCACTAATTATCGCATAATTATACTGTACTTGATCAAAGAAACGTAAAATATGGGCGATGGAGAATACAATGATTTCCCATAAAGAAATTGGATTTGAAAATCTAATCAATACTTATAATTAAATGTCATATTATATTCTTTTTGATTTTGTATGTATTTTGAAATGTTTAAAAGAATTAGTAAACTTACTTATATCATTTTATTAAACATTAAAATTCGATATACAGCGTGTCTTATAGATAACTTTTTAAAATTGTATTAAACATTTACATTCTTTAAACTTAAATATTTACCGAGTTATAAAATTTTCCAAAACAAAGAAGTTTAGAACACCCTTACGTATAAAACTGTAACATAAAGTTCATATGTAAAGGTCACAAAGCATATGAATGGGTTGAATGAATTTAAAAGAGACAAAACATACTGTTAGAAGGAGAGGCTTGTAATGCAACGCTGTGGCAACGAATGAAAAAGTCACTGAAAGTGTGAATCAGTCAGTTGTAGTTGTATTGGATGTTACAAAATTTGTTTCTTTTTTACTTAATTAGTTTGTTTGAAAAATATTTTTTTTAATTATGGATTTTTTTATCGTTAATATTTTTTATGATTATTGGCAAGTAGCGTTAGACGCGTGTTCTTTTATTCTCGCGGTGGTAACGACACGCTGTAGAAGCATTACGCTAACTTATTAATTGCCAAAACGCTTCCACACCGGTTAGGCAAAGAAAAATAAAGAATATTATGCATATTAAATCCCGACGTTTCGAACCCTTTCCAGCGTTCATGGAAAGGGTTCGAAACGTCGGGAGTTTTCAAATCAAAATAAAAAACGCGATAAGATCCGTAAACTAGTTTCATTTAAAAAAAAAAAGAAATTCAGTGGGATATTTTTTTCATTATTTGACAAGAAACGTGTATTAAAGTCCACTTGAAGAGCCTTGATCAATTCATTTTCCTATAGTGTTATAATTTAAATAATCACTAATAATATATTAGCATTTAGCACCTTAACAAACATTCCTTTACAATTTTTTGAATTTGGCATTGTGAACGTGTATTGGGATTCTGTTGTAAAAACGTTTAAATTGTCCCATAAAAAATTACTTATTCCACGCAGTCTAATTGCGGGTAAAATAAATATATGTTATGTATATGCATTCCAAATAACAATATACAGATCGTCTAAATGTCTATTTATCAAATAGTCTTTGTATACTTTAGTGCTCTTCGTTGTCTTTAGTTACTTCGGCTCACATATCGCAAACAACTTCGATGCCGCAGCAGTTTTATCGACGTTTTAATAATCTGAAACTTTTATATCGAAAACAGTACCAGACTGAAACCTGCATATTTTTGAAGCAATAATTAAAAAAAATGTTTTAAAGATATGTGATGTCCGCCAATCCTCGAGGGTGGCATGGCGGACGATGCAGTACAAGGAAGGTAGCCAACAATGGGACATATAAAAACTGTTACTTTATTTTTATAAAATCGATTAAAATAATTGTTAACAATTATTTTAATATTAATTATTATTTTAATTGTTAACAATTATTTTAATCGATTTATAAACTATTTTACGGATATTATCGCGTTTGATTAGATTTTTTAATTCCCAATAATTTGAATCCTTTCCAGCGTTCATGGTCCCAGGCCAGACTCCGTAAAATAATCCGTAAAATAGTTTCATTTAGCAATCGATTAAAATAATCTTATTTGATATCGGAAATTTTTGTAAAACAATTTGTAATCAAATGAACTCGACTTACCGTAATCATATTACTGGAGAGATTCAGTTGCCGCAACGCGACGAAAGATTTCATAGCAACCGTTGGGAAATCTGTTATGAAGTTTTCCGATAGATCCAACTTTTGCAAGTTTTCTATGCCCAGGAATACGTCGCTGTTAAACTTTGATAGCCTGTTACGACCCAGATCGAGGACTTGCAAATCTCTCAAACTTACAAAAGTCCCTCCTTCAACAGTCGATATCATGTTGCTGTGTAGATCTATTTCCTCTAACGTCTTTTGTGGTGATACGAATGACGCTTGTCGTATTACAGCTGAAAATTTATAGGAAGAAACTTTCACTTAAGATTTATTGCATATTTATTCCTTTGCATTTTACTTTCTTTTGCGAATACTAACTTCAAATGTTTCCCCTTTGAATTTATTTCCGGTAGATTTTATTAAAAATAATGATAAGCAATTACTTAAATTTCTTTTTCAATACAGTTTCCTTTAATTAGTCTCGCGAACAAAGTACCTATTAGTATGACTGAATTTGGAGTTTCTCTTGATTGTCTATTGTATAACAAAAATGAAATGGCTCCGTAAAAAGATGAAAAACTTCACTCATTTTCCAAATACCGACTCCGTCTTACCTATTCTATTTTCCCGCAGCGAGAGAACTTTTAATGACTGCGGGCCGTTAAGGGAGGATGATGGCACGGAATTCATATTGTTACGGTCGAGGCGTAAAGTCTGAAAATATCTGTATTATTAATATGCAAATGGTTATTATTCTTGCGTATGGAAATTTCTGTTATTAAAAAAAATATAGTGAAAACAAGAAATGTGAAAGCGATCGATATTAAATAAAGCCATAATTTTTCCTAAAAAAACAGTTTAAAAGTAAATGTATACAAAGAATAATACGAAACACATAAAATAATAGGCTCTCGCTAACAAGACAGATTTATTTAATATTTCTTTGTCCATATCGTTACATAATCTATATAAAGGCATTCTTCGTGTAATTTCCAATCTTATTACTACTATATAAAATCTTTACCAACCTTAAGGACATCACAACCAATGAGTAGACCTTCTTCTAAGCCCCTAATGCTGTTACCGCTAAGATCCAATTCTTCTAATGCGGGTAGGTTATGGAACTCCGCGGTTGAGAAAATTGGATTCAAGTTGTCCCCAAGTAAGTTGTCGGCCAACGCCAGCTTAGTGATGTTCCCCTTGACACCTGAGAGTAGACGGTCAGGCAGCCGACGTAAACTATTATGCGAGAAATCCAGTTCTTTGAGGGGAAGACCGTAAGAAGAAAATATCTGAAACGGTAATCATATTTGTTTTCAACGATATTATTTATTTTATTTCATTTTCGAACGAGTATCGAAACAATTACGCAATTACGCTTATGTATGCGTCTTCATGGGTGTATGTATGCGCTTGTATTTGTGGTGTTTATGAAACCTATTAGGGAACGTGTAAATTCACTGATACATTATTACAATTATTAATTGTATTGTTAATTAAAAATGTAATTTGCAAACCATAATTTACTGTTTCTTTAAACGGACCAAATTTATTGCAAGGCGTAAAACTTCCAAGAGGTCTCAGCTTTCAGCGGAAGCACGGTTGCTAACTTTTAATCTGGTATGCCATAAGGAAATACTTTCAAAGTTTTAAACTAACGCAAAGTGCCCGGGGGACAACTAAATTTCGAAGTAGTTTGGTAATGCCTTTGTAAATTATAATTTGCTTATTTCTGCGCCTTCACGATGGCTTTTAGGCGAACGATATACTTCGTTACACACGAACTGCATCAGGAAGTAAGTGTAAGTAATAACGGTACATTCAGACTCGACAAAATGTGAAATAAATGTGTACGTTTAAATAAAATTATTTGCGATTTTGTCACATTTTGTAAAACAATTTTTTTTAAAAACAATATTTTTTTAATCTAAATTTATGAAATAATTTTAAAGAAAACCCCATTCCAATTGTCACATTTGCACTTAGGATATGGTTTGGCCTCTCTCTGGAGTCCAACCAGTGCAATAGTAGGCTTCAAAATTCATGCAAAAACCATTTTCCATCACGTGACAATATTTTTTTATCATTCCAAGTTGACGTGAATAATGTAGCATCGTTTTATAACTGCTTCCACTATTGCTTTAAATGCATCTTTTGTCTCCAATTGACCTCGTGAATTATTGTTAAGATCAAAATTTCTGGGATAAAAGCTATCAAACTGAAAACCTACGTACACTTGCGGTCCCTGCATATGGCAGCAGGGGGCATATGCATATAAACGACGTGTAGTATATACTACACGTCGTTTATATTGCGTTTCATCTGTGCGTTTTGATATTCAAAGTCTATTCAACATATTATACTGTTATGCACCGATTCTTATTTTATATCATCACGGGTTATGATGAGTTCAATACTATGGTTATTAGCAATATTCACAGATATCTTATTTTGGTCGTTCGTTTTTATATTTATAGAATGTACTTACAGGGTAAATTCTTCCTACAGTATCAGTAAGATATTAACGAACGATAGATATTTGTTTGTAATATATATTTATTTGTTAATAATTTTATTTATTTATTTAATAAATTGTCATATTACAATTATAATGCTACTCCTCACTGAAGCGCCGATTTCGAAATTGGCGTATTTTACTAGTGCTGTTAGGATATTTGCATTACATAAAAATTGAAGTAAATAATTAATTAATAGACTCAAATAAATTAGAAACATGTAAATTAAAAGCAACTGGGTCGCGGCGATATTTTTCACGTGGTGAAACATTTTTGAAACGGTGCAGTATTTTCCGCATCCCAATGCGCAGTTATTAGATCATGAATGATCGCGTGTACGCTTCGCAAATAGAAAACGGATTGTGTTGAGTACAGACAATTAAAAGCATTGTTAGCGTGGTTTAAATTGTTCAATGAAATCGCTATTCCAAATTCACATAGCAGAGCGTCGACGGCCATGAATTTAAATTTTTTTCCTGGGCGAATTTTATACGCACTGATTCGATTTATCAACATTAAAAATTTAAAATTTGTGAATATCTATTTATTTTCTCATATTATTTTACCTTACTTACCCTAATAATTTACTAAAATACAAGAACGTTTCAAGTACTCAAATTTTACACGGAAAAACAAACAGATGCAGAACAATCATCCAGAAAGTCTTGTATAGGAATCGAACCCATTACCCACGAACAAATCCAAAGTGATTTAGAATAAACACAAATTATTACACAATTTTTGGTTTTCGCCTAAACATATAAAATCATTACTTATTCCATAGTTTTGTGTTTTATAGTTTGTTTTAACGGTGCCAATTTAGATAACAAAGCTTTCTCGTCAACTAGTATAATAAATAATCTCACCTGCGTCGGCAGAGACTGTTGTCCGGCCCAGCGCTGGCTGAAGGAGACTATGGGAGCACCGTAGGGGAGAGCGGGGAAGTCCCCAGCGAACACGACCCTGTCGCAATTCATCAGGATGCCAAGTTGCAGTGCACGATCGACCTGCACCTTGCAGCGGCACGGATATCGCAGGTCATCGTTCAGCTCGGAGCAGGGGACCCAATTCTGCTGTCCCATGATTCGCATCGCCATAAGCAGTAGTAGCAACTTCCACATCTTGCCCTGTAAAGAACGTGATTCTTTAGAACTGTAGTAACACGGAATTGGTGTGGAATGTAGATGTTGCATTATGCAAAGCATTTGTTTTTTTTTTTTTCATGGTTTGCGTTTTCGTCTAATTACACAAAATAAACCAAAAATAAAAATAATCCAACGAATATTTGTAACCGCATTTTCGACTGTTATTATTAAATGGTTTATGAGTTAATAATAACTTGAATGACATTTCAATAAGATTGCGGATGTAGAAGCCATCAAGTACACAATACAATCACTGCGACACCTGACGATCACGTTTGCTTTGAAAACGGCTTTAGTTGGGCTAAACCTGGCATAGCTTAGATTCCTGAGCTTAGTATTTACGTAAATGGATAACAGCTAATTATTGCATGAAAAATATGATGATTGTTAAATGAAGTTTAGCACTAAACACTTTTAAAACACAACGTCTCGAATACGCCAAAGAGGTCATTGCCACCTTAAAGAGATGCATACAAAAATGTTAATTAGGTCTAAACGATGTAATCTTCTGTAAACGAGCTTTTTCTTTTTTTAAACTTACTGGTTTTTAAATTACTGGACCATGTTCTTTTTTATACATTTATGTTTGTTGTAATAATATTGAAATAAGAGATGCGCCCAATTACTTAATGTATATTCCTCACTTTCACAACTTTCTTGCAGTTATTTACACTTTCACTTTCTATTATCACACGAACGTAACCGACGTTAACTAATATTGACCACTGACAACTGTTCTAGTACAAGAATTGACATCAAAAATTAAAATATTACTTCACACGTCTGAAATGGTGTCATTAATTAACATCATTTCATAATTCGCCACCTCGCAATTTGTAATTAGCTTCGAATTTACTAGCACCTAACGGCCATACCTCGGCAGATATTACGTGTGTAATTTTTTTTTTTCACCTGTTTCGTGATATACTCGCAATAATTTTGACTATGATTTGACATCGGTTCACCTAGTTGTTCGTAATTTCGCATCCAAGTCTCAATATGCGCTTTTTTCAGATTCCATACCTGAACGAACCACCGAAGTCTATGCGATAAACTTAGCACCTATTTGAAAACATCATCTATAACTGTGTGTAACTGTATGCGCCCGCAAAACTCCACAAATCAAAGCTTGCATGTAAAAGGTGGCATCATAAGACAACAGAAATAGAACTTTTTTTTACGTAACATTCACTGACATCGCTTCGTATTTTAATTTTTTGAAATATTTTTCCATTCCGCTTCGAAGAACCTTTTTTAAGCCACAAAGTGTAAATTTCATTTGCGGTTCCATAGCAGTTTATATTAACATCCCATCATGAAAGCATCCCGTCCGTCCTGCATTTAATTACCGTAAGTAATATATGCCTCGTAATATTTTCATGTGGCTAAGCGGAAACGTTGACATATAAATTACTTTAAAATAATAAATAACCTAGTAAAAAAATTAGAAGTTGTAACTATTTAACCTTGTCAACCTAAGTAACACAGAACTAAACCTAGATTTCAAGTCGTTTTATATCCACATTGTCTTGTTATCGAATTTGATGAGAATTTTTCTGCACTTCGTTTTTGACATATTGTGGATTAAATATGTTTAACGGTTTGAATGTTTAATGTGAATAAGTTTAACATTTACACTAAATAAACATTATGAAAGACTTGCTTGTGAATGATATTAAAAGAAAATGTAGTCAAATTTACTTTTATATATATATAAAAGTAGGCTTAACGCGGCTGGTGACATGAGAGCTGGTTCTTTTCTCGCTCAAAGGTTAAGCATAACTGTTCATTGAGGAAACGCAGCTAGCGTTCTTGGCACCATGCCGCGTGGATTAGGTTTATTAGATAATATGTAATTTTAGATAGATTTAATCTTGTAAATATTAGATCAATAAAGATTTGTGTGTTTTCTCATATGTGAAAAAAAAATATATATATAAATATATATACATATGATATATATATATATATATATATATATATCATATTGTATATCATTGCTGAACACAATTTCAATCATAACTTATTAAACTGAAAAAGACGTAAATGTTCATTAAAATGTACTAAGTTTGTTCCTGAAAATTAGTTTGAACATGAAAAATATTTCCATAATGCAATAGGAAGTTTCGCTTACTAATTTCTTGCTTCAATAAACAATGAAAGTATAACAAGCCCCTCTGTCAGAAATATTCATAATTGAACGTCGTTTTCAGCCAGCTCCCTGTTACAATTGGTTTCTGGGTCCGCTTTCAATGATTCTCACAATTCAATTGCATGCCTTTTCCTTATGTAATGTTATTTACAAACGTTAAATCTGCTGGTTGGTGGCCGATTTGGATAATTTTACTAACGTTTAAATACGGAACAATTTAAAAATAATGAGTTACACTTATTTTTATAGTTTCATAATTACGAAAAGTTTTTTTTGTAAAAGTTTTTTTTATTGTACCATAAGTAATAAATGTGAATAACGTGACACTAACAGTATCGTGTTTCATTTAGTAACACATTGAACAGCAAAAACTACAGACTATCAGAAGTGTCAGACTAGCAGGAAGTTAATACATCCACCACTGGCCATTAACAGATTATGTTGAATTAGTGAAACACTCGTAAATTCCAATCAGTTATACACTCATGATGTCCCCGCGTTCCCATAGCGCATTCAACCTGGCATCGATCGTATTTTCGACTATTTCCAATTGTCATTCACGAGGTGCTCGCAAAACAAGTTGCATGAGTGTAATAATGGGGGACGTGTTTGATACATACATCATTTGGTACCATTTTTTCATAGTTTTGCATTCAATATGACAAACTATTACTTTATAATTTTTTTTAAAGAAACATTTCCCTTGCTTTGGGATAACATTATCCTGTGTTGTAAGGACGTTTTTACAAACATAAACTTCACGCGGACAAACACCCAGATGCGGAACAACTATCTGTGGGTCGCACAAATAGTTGTCCCATGTGGGAATCGAACCCACGATCCCCGACGCCGAAGCCGATACCTTGGCCGCTGCGCCAAGGAGTCATTAATAATTAAGTATGTAACATATGTATATTCAGATACCATAGATAAAAGGTGACGAAAAACGACAAAGGCAATACAGCAAATAAAACCTACAATAGCTTTACTAACTATATATTGGTATATACGCACAGCAATGAGCGCCTAAACAACGTAGAAACTATTGCAAAGGTTTAATGTTATGACATCAAATATGGTGGCCAAAGTCGAAAACGCACGCGTTATCGTAACGATTTTTATTAGAAGCTCATTTTTTATGATTTTTTTATTGAGAACGTACATTAAACTGCACGTATCGTAAAAGGACCTCTAATATGCTCCCAATTGAGTTCATATTTAACAAATTTCATCTCTTTTGATGCAGTAAATAAGACTACGCGTCGATAATTCGTGTAAAAAGAAAATTTAACACCGGAAAATTCGAACCATCCAGTTATCAGATATAACTGGATGGTTACCTTATAGGGAGTCATGTGGAAAGGATGTGCGTGTAATGGTATAGAAACGTTGTTCGCGCATTACAATAGATTACCAATATGAAAAGAAAATTTTTAGGAAAAAATTCTGTTCTGTTCTTAGGATATGGCTAACTCCAATATTGCAAGCATACGCTACACAGATTTACTTGAGGAATTGTTATTCTAAAAACAATAAGACGACTGCGAAATATCCCAAACAATGTAATATTAATAACAATTCTAAGAAATGTAATAATGTGTTAAATCTCCTCTCTATCCTTAATATAGAAGATGTTATAACGCATAACCGTTAAAATTTCTCATAATGCCACCATAGCACGATCAAAATTTATGACACATAGTAAAACCGATAATATCCCGACATGATTTTAAACAGCCAATTTCACGTTTGAGCTACTTTTCTAACATAAATGCATGCTCTATATGGTTATACTTCGTACATTTAAAAATAATAATAGTAATGTCCTGTTTTCTTTAAGGAACCAATTGGTTTCTTAAAGAAAGTAAAGTATCAGCCTATACTACATGTCCCACTGCTTGGCAAAGGCCTCCTCTGTACAGAGGGTATCACGGCATAGTCCACCACGCGGCCCAATTGCGGATTGGCGGACTTCACATATCTTGGAAATATTTTTTTTATTATTATTTCGAAAATATGCAGTAATTTCCTTACGATGTTTTCCTTCACTGCTGAGCACGTGATAAATCAGCACTTGAAATTAATAATGTCATTGGTGCCGGCACGGTTGCTCGAGTATATTGAATTAAAGGCGTCTTAAAAAAAATGGCCAGAAATATAAGAACAAGTAATAAGCCGAAATACAAAAAAAAATTAAAAAGAATTATAACATTTATTAGTGAGCATACGTGTCCGCATTAAGGCAGTTTTTACAAGTTCGCAATTTAATATACTCGAGTAATATCTAAGCTCAACTCCCGGTGATGTCGCCACCCTGACCAATGATGTGTTCATCGGTGAAGGAAAATATCGTGAAGAAATCTGCATAGATTTCTTCCATATATTTTCAATTTTCAAGACATTTTCAAAATATGCATTTTCGAAATAATGATAAAAAATATATATCGAAAATATGTGAAGCCGGCCAATCCGCAGTGAGGTCGCGTAGGGGGGTATCCACCAATACCCTCCGTACAAAGGGCGCCTGTCGCCTTGGCTCAGCAATGTATGATATGTGTATTGTTTTGACTCTTGTAATCTTATAAAATTAATTTTCATTGTGTGTTCAATTAAATGTTGTTGTTCCCCGACACTTAAATATATAAACAATATATCTGATTAAAATGAAAGTTTTGATTTATTATTGATTTCAAATATACGTATTTCTTGTTTGCCAAAAGATTTCTAGATATTTTTTTTTATAATCTTTGTATAATGTCAGTCATTACATATGAACAATTACAGCCACTAATCTCGTGAGATCATGTGTAATTTACAAAACCAC